AGTAAACTATGTTGATAAATATAATGATTTAGAAGGCGGTTGACAGTATATACTGTGTAAATATTTCAAAAGTTCTAGATTCCATATACAGGGCGTTTCAAAAATGTATGTCATATTGACATACCTTTATGATTCAATCAATAAAATTGATTAAATCCAACTTACTTTAGTACAAAAGTGTACACAAAAAAAGTTACAGCCCAGTTAAGTTACAAAATAAAAATTGTCTCCTAAACTACTTGACATTTTGTAATAAAAATGGACACGTTATTTTCTTGTTATGAAAGCATTTTTCATATGAAAGAAACAACAAAATCACACAGAAAAATTTTAAGGGGGATGTGCAGCCCTAAATCTCCCCAAACTTTTGAGTACGTTTAAATCAAATGAATTTTTTGGCATCATTAGTTTAACACATTATTTTTAAAACTTTTTTATCTTTCATCACTTTTTCGAAAAACTAGCTTTTTCCTAGTTGACCATAAAATTACAATTAGTTTCTACGGATACAATACTTACAAACATTTCCATCAATAATAGTCAAATGTCCCACACATTTCAGGAAATGGCAGATATGCATTTATCTTTGGGTAAGTAGGATCAGATTAAATTATGATTTCAATAAACTATTGGGAATATCGTAGGTGAATGTCAAGGAAATAGTGCAGTAACCGCAAGGGTTATGCAGTAAAATACCCCAATCGAAATACATCCGATAGACGACTATTTCTGACCATTGATCGTTGTTTACGGGAAACGAGTACATTCCAACCGCAAGTTGCTGGTAACAGTGGTCGTCCAATAGTGGATGCAACTGATAAAGATATTTTAGAAATCATTGAAGAAGTCCCTGGAAAAAGTACAAGGGTAATAGCTGCTCAACTAAATGATTGAGTTGGTTGTTATTGGAAAACACTCGAAATGTTAATTTTGTTAGAAATATTTTGTTTACCGACGAGGCTATCTTCAGTAGAAATGGAATAACAAATCCTAACGAGCACATTTGGGCTGACAAAAATTCTCACGCCAAAAAAACGACTCATCAACAAAGGACTTTCAAAGTTAATGTTTTGGACGGGAATTGTGATTAACAATCTAATAGGCCCAGTATTTCTTCTCAACAATTTAAATGGGGTTAATAATTATTTGCATTTCTTGGCAAACAAAGGACTTTCAAAGTTAATGTTTTGGACGGGAATTGTGATTAAAAATCTAATAGGCCCAGTATTTCTTCTCAACAATTTAAATGGGGTTAATTATTTGCATTTCTTGGCAAAAGATTAACAAGAGTATTTGGAAGAAGTGAATATTGCAATAAGGCAAAATATGTGGTTTCTACAAGATTGCGCTCTACCGCATTACAGTAATGAAGTCCAGAATACCTTTGCGGGCAGTATCCTGGTCGGTAGATTGGAAGGGGTCGTGACGCACCTATTTCTTTGCCACCCAGAAATCCAGTTCTTAACCCCATGGACTTTTGCTTTTTAGGGTTTATGAAAGAGAAAGTGTATTCTATAAAAATAGAGGACGAACAACAATTGAGAGTTTGGATAATTGAAGCTGCAAATCAATTTCGTCAGAAAAATATGATTTTTCAGCGCATTCGGCTTTCCTTGTTAAAACGATACCGAATGTGGATTGAAGAAAATGGGGGTAATTTTGAAAATTTATTGTAATATATACGGTGTCGAAGCATGGACATTAAAAATATCCAACAATAATCGTCTGGAGGCCTTTGAAATGTGGCTGCACAGACGTATACTAAAAATTCCATGGACGGCTATGCTGACAAATTTGGCACTACTTGAGAGAGCAAATGCTGCTCGCGAGCTGCTTGATAACATCAAATGTAGAAAGATGGCCTATTTTGGACACGTATTAAGGGGAGACCGATATAATATTCTTCAACTTATTATGATGGGTAAAATCGAAGGACGCAGAGGAATTGGTAGAAAGCAGGCTTCTTAGTTGAAAATATCAGGGAGTGGACAGGAATAAAGAAAGCTGAGCAACTATTTAGAATAGCTCGAGACAGAGACAGTTTCGCCATGTTAATCGCCAACGTTAAGGGGACTTGATAGGGCATTTTAAGAAGAAGAATAGTTATATCATATTTATAGAGGTTATAGACATTTTTTGTACTTGTTAATTCATTTAAGCCATTTATTTAGTTGCACGTTTTCCAACTCAATAAAAACTGTTTTTTGAAAAAAGTGATAAGGCAAAAATATTTTAAAAATAATGTGTTAAACTAATGATGCCACAGAATTCATTTGATTTGCACGTACTCAAAAGTTTGGGGTGATTTGGGGCTGCACACCCCCCTTAAATTTTTTCTGTGTGATTTTGTTGTTTCTTTCGTATGAAAAATGCTTTCATAATAAGAAAGTAACGTGTCAACGATTCAATCAATTTATTTTTATCCCCGGAATGCGTGATTTAATTTATGACATAACTTTTTGAAACACCCTGTATTAATTAGCAGATATATGAAGATAATTGTTACTCAAATTGAAAAATGATTAGAATAGATTTCTCTTAAATATAAAACTCTACTTATTTAAAACACTTTATTAGATACCTGCACATGTCTGACACTGACTGGCAGTGTTGTTACAAGAACATAACAAGAGTGACGTGTAAAAATAAATTTGAATCGATTCCTTGTAAATAAGATAGTTAAACATGTGCATCAGTGGTAGTCAAAAGCAATAGAAACGTCACTTGAGGAACTGAATGTATCTAATATTTAAAGTAGGCTAATGAGGTTGGTGTAGGAGGATGAAAATTAAAATCTTCATCGTAATTAAGATTTAGAATTATCTGTAACCCACAGAAAAACAACATTGACCACTTGGCATAATATGATGTTGAAATAGTCCTAAAGGTATAATTATTGAAATTCTACAAATTGAAATAGATAGTATATATTTGGTATTGAAACTTGTTAAGAATATCTTCGAAAGTCTAGATATAAAAGTAAAAATTTCTTTTTTTTTTTTATTTAAAACACTTATACCACATCAACCACACAGGGTTATTAGTGGGATAACAAACACAATAGTTTTAATACAATTATGTACATTAAATAGTAAGATACAATTTGATGTCTCTTAAATAATTTAATACATTTTAATTTCTTTCTGTCAAGATTGACGTGAAGTCGTCTGGAATTCCATGCATTTTTCTTTGATTTTGGAAACATGGGCAATCAAGCAGGAAGTGTTTCACTGTCAATGAAGTGAATCTACGACAAAAGGACGCTGAAAACAGGACGCGAGACCAAAGGACGCGGAAAAAAGGACGCGCAAAAAAAGGACGCGCGAAAAAAGGACGCGTGGAAAAAAGGACGCATATTATTAATGAATTACTATAAATAGTTTATTTTAATTGACATTAGCCATTACCCCCTTTTTATCCATATGTTTTATACCATATGTTATTACAGAAAATGATTCTACCTAACCTAAAATCGGTTACGGTAAGAGTAAAAAGTGAAAAATAATTATATGAAAAAAACTTGCCCTCACATTTTATCGAGGCTTAGGACTAAAATATCTTAAGTAAAATAATAAATACTAATATAATGTTGATTCAAGATTTCTGGTATTAACGGTAGGTACCGATAAAAGGACGCGGAAAAAAGGACGCATAAAAAAGGACGCATAAAAAATTAAAAAAAAATAAAAAAAACTTGTAAACACGCCAGCTTCTGCTGCCAGTCCTAAGCCTGAATAAAGTGTGAAGGCAAGTTTTTTTTCATATAAATATTTTTCACTTTTTACTTTTATCTTAACCGATTTTAGGTTAGGTAGAATCATTTTCTGTAATTATATATAGGGTATAAACGGGGGTAATTGCTATTGTCAATTAAAATAAACTATTTATAGTATTTCATTAATAATATGCGTCCTTTTTCCACGCGTCCTTTTTTCCACGCGTCCTTTTTTCGCGCGTCCTTTTTTCCGCGTCCTTTTTTATGCGTCCTTTTTTTCCGCGTCCTTTTGTCGGTATAACCCCAGAAAAATATTGCAGGCATTCAATTTACATTTTATAATTTTTAAGTCAGTGTGGCTACAGCAGAGAGGTCCTTCTCTATATTAAGAAGAGTGAAAAATTGGATAAGGGCAAGGATGGGGAAACCCAACTCAAACATTCTTGCCTCCTTCATATTCGCAGAGACATTGAAGTAGACACTGAAAAAGTAATAGAGCGATTTGCACATCAGCAAGCCAGACAACTCGAATTTGTTCTATGAGGTTTAGTGTACAAGAATTTTACATTTCTTTATTTGCACTTGTTGGACTTTATGAGGTTTTAGAATAAAATTTTCTGATTTTTCGTTGCTAGACAAATCAAATACTTTAAAACGTTTTGAATGTTTTGGATTGGATCCGTCCTTGGTTGGAGGTAGGTATGCCGTGACGATATACTGAAATGCCGTTATGAAATACTGAAAAATAATGATATTTTGGGGTAAGAAAAACAATTTCTTGTTAAACTTAAAAAAAAAACTAAAACGACCTTACCTGTCAATTTGATCAACTAGAAGTTTCATTGTCACTAAAAAAGAGGTACAACTTGCTGGAGGTCTTAATGATGGAAGATGGCAAAGCTGCAGGGCCTGATAAGGTCCATGGCGACACTCTAAAAGGCATGAACCACAAAGCTGGTTTAAGGTTAAGCTTTGACAGATTTTTTCAACAACATCAATAATCCACAAAGTTGGTTTAAGGTTAAGCTTTGACAGATTTGTTCAACACCATCTACAGAACTGGAAAAATAAACTTAGACTGGCTGAAGTTAAAGTTCGCTACCTTATCAAAAAAAAAACTAAGACGTTTTAATGTGATAATTACCGCATGATAAGCTGTAAGTGGGATTATAGAATATTGTTTTATAAGTTGTATATTACGTATTGATAAACAAAAAGTTCGTAAAACAAGAAATATTCCTGCCTCCAGACATAGCATTTCAAAAATTTCTATGGTTAATAAGGGATGAGCAAAGAGAAATCATATGACTGCGAAAACTGTCCTGAACAACCCGGATTTTGTGTTGAATGCTTTGAAATTGCTTATATGTGAATCAAAATCAAATATATATGTGAATTTTTCTGTATTTTATAGAATATATAAACTTATTTTTTCTAAAATTCTATCATATAATTATTTTTCTAGAAAAATGTTCTAATTTGCCTTGTGTCCATCGGAGTGAGTCAGCGATAAACTAGAAATTCTTAGCTAGGTGCGCATGACTCCAATCTGAGTTAAAAATTCAAATCACACTATTAATAAATATACAGGAGATACTTTTAATATTAATTACAATGATATTTTAGAAAAAAGTTATTGCCGCTCCTTTGTAACTTCTATCGAAAAAAAAAAAAAACAGCAGCGAATATGTTAAAGAAAACCAAATAAGCCAAATTAACGCTAATTTAATCTAAGTTCTCAAGTTTATGATATGAAATTAATTTCAGATCAAATGTCCTTCCAGGCAGGCACCTCAAAAATATTGACACTACCATTTATATGTTCATGTACCAGAGTCATATAAATTAAAATGTATAATATGTCTGAATTGTTAACATAAATGCGGCAGATCTAATTTAATTATTGAAAGAAATTTTTGTAGTACCAACTAACAAAACAAAATAATTTGTTTAATTTTTATTTTAAGAATAATTTCCTAAATGGAAATTATTCTGACATTCTCAAAATAAAAATATCTTTTAGGCTGTTTTAGCAGTTGAAGCACACTGTGATTTGAAAATGGGCGTATCACTTACTTTTCTACACTGCTTACGCCAGACCATCTTTACTTAGTGGCGCCGGCCGAAGGGTAGTTTACTAACAATAAATGCACTAACAATAACTGATCGTACGTTCATGAGATTTGACGTCACGAAGGCGATAACGATAAAACTGAGCGCCAATGATGAGTAACACGTTTCACTATTAGATTTTAGTATTTTTTAGCAATTTTCTTTAAAGTTGGAACACTCTTTTCTCGATTATTACTGGACACAGAAAGGTGAAGAAAAAATTAACGATTACAGAAAAAAACTTTTTTAAATGATGGGTGTAAAAAGTTTGGTTATAATACAACGTTAAACAGTATAATCCAATTTTTCAATAGAAGTTTTAAGTTTAAAATAAAAAAAAAGTAAAACCATAATTTTAAAGGCAACATAATTTCGAATAACGTGTCCAAATTTCGAGACATTTTGTCGATAAATAACAGAGAAAACACTGTCCCTAGGTTTTGGTGCACCAATAAAACAGCCTGAAATTGTGGTTAACTCCCATTAAACATATCAAAGAATATTAAAATGTCCCAAGAAATAGCTTCTATGTAATAATTTTCAAATTCAAATGAATAATATGCTTCAATACAAAGTTTTGATGTTTTGGACAAACAGATATGACCAAAAGATCTTTCAGATCGTAGTGTAAAAATAGCTATAACGCCAAACGATCCCTTTAAAATCTACAATATATGATTTGCAAGCTTTATGAAGTCCTAATCAAATTCTGAACTCTATTCTTATTCCCCTTATTAGCAATTGTTATATCTTTACAACCATTAAACTTATGTTTTAAGATTCAACAAGTTTTCCTATTGTGCCTCATTTCAAATACAAAAATAAATTTTATTACTGATTTGTTAACGCCTAATAAAATACGCCAGTCCAGGAATTTGCCACGATGTTCTAACGATTTATTTTTAGACTCTTCAGAATTTAAATTTCTAATTTAAATCAATATGTGCGGAATTATGATTTATTAGATCTAGAATACGAAACCTACAAAGGCCATGTTTCGCAGTTTTGGCCTTAACTCTAATAATATCACATATTAAAGGTCAATGGCTAAATAATTTGATGTCTAACGCTTAGTTCACGCTCCGAGAGCGAATCATCACGTTCCCAGCATTTTTTGCTACACATTTAAAATTAACTTTATAGGTGTACCTATGAAATAAAATGATGGTTGTTAGTAAAAAGTACGAATTAGATCTAACAGTAAAGTGTATACTATATTATTATGTAATCCATCAATATCTAAAAAAATTATACAGTGTGAAATATTAACATAGTTATATGCAATAAAAAAAATTAAATACGAGTATTTAAGTATTGACACTAGGACCACAACCCAGTAGTAGCAAATATGAATGTAAGATTGAGAAAACCACTAATGAAAATATCTAGACCACAAATATAAATTGGTAAACTAAGGGAACCAAATACATACCAAGAAACTCGAAATAAAATAAATCAGAGTATCCAAGAGATAAAACAACAAAATAAGAACACTACAGATATTGAAACAAAGTGAAAGAATATAAAAGAACACAATAGAGACTGTGAGATGGAAAACAATAATATTTACAAAAGCTGCCAAACAAGAATGGATGACACAAGAAATTGTCGAAAAGATGGACGAAGGAAGAATACATAAAAACAAAGATAAAATTAAATATCAAGAAATTAATAAACAAATAAAACAGAAAAATAAAACAAGCTAAGGGAACATGGATGTCCATTAAATGTCAAGAAATTGGGGAATCTGAGGCAAGGTATGATACGTTCAACACCCATAAGAAGGTTAAAGAAATGATTTCAGCAAATCGTAACAAACCAATCGGGAATTAACAAATGCAAATGGTACCACTATAGCTCAAACGCAAGACAAATTACGTAGATGGAAAGAATACATTAAACACCTATTTTATGACCAAAAAGTAGAACAATTAGAAGTTGACGGAGAAACCACGGGACCAGAAATAATGAAAGAGGAAGTTATTTATGCCATAAAACATACAAAAAGTAGAAAAGCTCCAAGACCCGATAAAATACCAATTTAACTATTGAAGATAATTGATGAAGATAATATTGATGTCTTGGTAGACCTTTTTAACTCCATATACAAGACGGGAGACATACCCAAAGAATGGCTTCTCTCAACTTTTTTAACGATTTCAAACATCATAAATGCTACAGATTGTAATGACTATTCTATACTGAATTCACATAAAATTGGAACAAGAAATAAGTGATTCATATATGGGTTTTAGAAAGGGTCTAGGAACTAGAGAAGCATTATTCGAAGTCAATGTTCTGACACAACCATGTCTGGATAAGAATCAGGACCTATATGCTTGCTTCATAAATTTAAAAACGCTATTGACAGAGTTAAACATGAAGAGCTTTTAAATATTCTTAAGAACAAAAACATAGATAGAGAATTCTCTCTCCTGTTACTGACAAAGAATATAGAGCGTAGAACCATGTTAATTAATTTTAAACTGTTTGTCCTTGTTTTAGTGTAGTATTTTGTACAATTTTATGTTAAAATTTATGTTTATCACATTCTACGCTTGCTGGATAGCCCAAATTTGACAAAATGCCCCTGAAGATGCTGGTTTAAGCGAAAGTACTTGGGCAAGATTTAATTGTTAAAATTGTGCTCGATATTTGCCTTTCATTTTCAAAGTTAATCTTCTGTTAAAGTAAACAAGTAAACTGTTAAATAAAACTTCTTGAAATTTTTGTAGCTGAATATATGTAATATTGTTCCTATTATGAAGCGAAATTAAAGTTTTTTGTATATTTTTAGACAAAGTATTAATAATTTTCAGAAAATTGGCTTTTGAAGCTATTTTTGCCATAATTAAGCAACAAATTAACAAAAAAAAACTTTACAAACTCCCATTTTAAAGAATTCTCTATACTTTTTTCAGTAAAATGGTGACACTTTTTCACACAATTTGCCGGTCTTTACCTTAAGTATTTAAAATTAATATGGCGATCTTACATTGTTTATATCGCACCTCTGATAAAAAAGAGTCACAACTCAAAAATTGTCAATATTGAGAAGATCGTGCTACAAGTATTAAAATAAGTCATACTTTCTTCCATATAAGCGTCACTCTTATATTTGAACTACATATTTACCGCGAGATGGCGATGTGACACTTTTGTTTTTTACAGGTTAGCTCAGCATGCATTCCGCTACAGTGTCACCTTTGACTTTATAACAGTCTACACGTAGTGCTTAATCCTGAAAAGAGTCACAGTTAGAATTGTACCAGTTTTGTGTGAATTATTAGTTATATCTGATTATTGCAATAAATAAAATACTGTTCTTTTTTGTGTTGTGACAATTTTTTCGAAGTTGTAAACAAAGAAAATACTTTTGCATGGTGCGGGAGAGTATTACATTTTGAGTTAAGCTAGTTTTTTGAATATGTAAGTATATTTTTTCAAACTATTTTTGGAATATGACTGTTTTGCAGAACCGGCACATACGATTTTCAAATCCATTACCTTTTCTTTTTTAAATATGATGCCTTTTTTTAGAATTATTGATTGTTATTTTCTTGTTTATTACAGTATGTTATCCTGCCTTGTTTTTATTTATTATCATTTTTTTTGCAGAAAACAGACTGGTTTCATAATATGCAAAGTTCATCGAGTTCAAGAATAAGCAGAATTATGGTCCTTACAAAGAAAATAAAATCAGAGCGTTATGCACCAGATCAAGTGCGAAACTCAGGCAATCTGATATTGAATAATAAAAAAATAGCGTACCTAAAGTTTTTATTTTAGCTATAATAATATTTCTTCTTTTTCAGAAATCTTATAGCTACAGATAACGATAATAATAAGCCTGGTACATCATTATTACGGGTTGATCTTTCACCAGAACGGAAAGCTCCAGAAAGCACCAGAACGGAAATGGAAACTCCAAATTTTGGACTTCGTAAGCGATAATGATGATGATTCCATAAAAGATCCAAGTTATGAATCAGATTCTAGTAGCTCTTGTTTGTCCTCCTCTTCTACATCAAGTGATATATGTATCTGAAATGTAAGCCAGATAGCCACTCCACTTGCGGACTTTCAAGCAGTAAATACTCCAGTAGCAAGCATTCAAGTACCAGACGTTGAAGTTGCAGCCACTCTAGCAGCAAACTTACAAGGATCAAAACCTGAAGTACCAGATACTCAACTAGCAGACACCCAACCAGCAAACACTCATCCAGCAGATACCAAAATTACCAGTCCTAAAAAAAGAGAAAAAAAGCGAGTAGCAGTAACAGAAAACTGGTTGAGTAACAAAGCCAAGAAATTACGAAACTCTGATCAAGCATATACCTCAAGATTTACATTGCCAGGATTATCAGACCTGCTTGTGGAGATAAATGCCGGCTAAAATGCTCTAATAAAATAGATGAAAATACCAGGAAAGGTATTTATAAAAAATATTGGGCCCTGGAAAATATAAATAGACAGAGGGATTTCATTGACAAATGCATGAAACCAGTCGAAACCAGCGTACAGGTACAGCAGTGTAGAGAGGCCCTACGTCACATAATAATGCTTACTATTTTCATATATATATATATATATATATATATATATATATATAAATATATATATATATATATTATATATATATATATATATATATATATATATATATATATATATATATAATAAGCAAGTTCGCGTATGCAAATACTTTTTAATGGCTACGCTAGATATCAACAATCGAATTACAAGAACGGTCGTTGACAAAGCTGAAAAAGGGTTCCTAAAAGTAGACTTAAGAGGTAAACACAAAAACCATAAAAAATGGATCCATCGATTAAAGACGGAGTTTGTGAGTACATTCGATCGATTCCTCGTATTAAAAGCCACTATTTTTGGAAGCAAACCAAAAGGAAATACATCGAAGGTAAAAAATTAAACTGATATATTTAATTGCCAGGAAAACAATCTACCGCACGCAAATTTAGTGATGTTCTCAAAAATGTTTAACACAAAGTTTAACATTAGTTTCCTTATATCCAGAAAAAATCGCTGTGAGTTTTGTAATGCGTATTAAAATGCCATAGGAGAAGCTAAGGAAACATTGAAACACAAGTATGTATTACAACTGAAAAAAAAAAGATTTATCGAGAACAGACAAGTACCAAGAAAAGGTGAAGGCTAATTCCAATTACATTGTATCAGTCTATGACTTGCAAGCAGCTCTTTCTACGCCGTAAGGAACTGTATCTATTTTTTATCATAAATCGAAGTTGAATTGCTACAACTTCACGATGTCTAATTTGAAAACTGGTTCAACGGAATGCTACTTTTGGCATGAAGGGCATGGAAATAGGGGGAGTGATGAAATAAGTTCATGTGTACTAAATCTTATAGAAAAAAAAACTGAGCACTTCCAATAATGAAGCTGGGCTTGACTTCGTTTTCTGTTCAGATAATTGTTGTGGCCAACAAAAAAATTGATTTTTAATTGCTATGTATATTTATCCTCTAAGTAAATACCGTAAAATAAGTTCAATAACCCATAAATATTTGATAAGTGGACATAGTCAGAATGAAGGCGACTCTATTCATTTAACTATTGAGAAGGCTATAAAGAAAAGTTTAAATCTGGTCCTATCTATGTGCCAAGTCAGTATTCACAAATCATTCGTTTGGCAGAAAAAAAGAAAGAACCTTACCATGTAAATGAATTCGGTCATTTGGATTTTTATTCGGTTAAAAAATTGTGTGACGATATAGGCATGGCAAGCAACAAATCCTACCACCCTTTATTATGAAACCTCCTATAAAGATGAGGAGTTAAAGCAAGTAGATCTCTGCCAAAGAAGAAACAATATCATTCCAAGTACCTTACAACAGGCCTACGAAATTGTACTTAACATTAAAGACAATAAGAAACAAGATCTCTTGGATTTAGTAAAGAATAATCACATTCCCAGCTGTTTTTCAGCATTCTATAACTCTTTGTAACAATAAATAAAAAGTTTTTTCGGTTTTTCTTTGTGTTTGATTTATTATACTCTAACAACTTGATTTTTAAGATAATAATATCTTGTTCTAAAAAAGTGTCACAATATCGGCATGTTTCTATTTTTTTACTATTAACTGCAAAAATTGAATTTTCTGAGAAAAATAATGCACCAATAACACTAAGCTAATATATTCAAGGTTACAATAAAATATCATATTAGCTTGCATTTAGTCATAGAACTGACAAATACATGTTCAACAACTAAAATCTTTAACATTATTTTTCCCAAAACAACGTTTTTTCAATTGTAAGTCTTTTTTAGCAAAGGTGCGATATATTGTTTATAAGTAAAAAATGAGATTTATAATCTTTAGCATATTTCGTTGATTACAAATTGTTATCACCAAATTTATCAATAGCAGTTGTTAGATAGTTGTATCAAATAGTAAACGAAATGGCTTTTTATTTGCTAATTTCTCTTGTCTAAAATTGGTTTCGTGTCCAAATTGAAAATTTATGTTTATTAAATATATTCAGATACTTATATTAATTAAATATACTGTATTATAAATTGTAAACACGTAAACTCAGGCATTTTTATGTTTCTTTTAATATTATCTTGTAGTACAAATAGCTATTTGAAATTGCCACAATTATTATGCAAATAATTTTATTACTTTGTTTTGTAACTGAAAGAGACTGCATGTTATTCATAAGCATATATATTTCTTATACTTAGTTTATAAATAGAAACGACGTAATTCGATCTTATTAAAGACGTGAAAAATCTATTACATATTTACATTCATAATGACCATTCTTACAATTGTTAAAATTAACGAGCTAGACTTTTTGTTTCCGTAGTTATGTATTTAAAATACGATCTGTCGTGGTAGAGGAAAAGAAATTATAAATAGTAATTGTTTAAGTGAATTAAGTAATTGTTTCCTTCCAGCTGATGGAGGAAATTATATTGTATCTATTAGTTTTTAGATGAATAATACTAAAAATGAAACTCTATTTAAAAAGTTTTTTAGTTTTAAATAATTTGATTTTTTTTATTGTATTTTGTGGTTTAAAAGCAGGAAATTAAGGGTCGGAATTAACCTTAGGCTACGGAGATATCAAAGATACATGGATGTGTGCGATGGAGATCGCGGTGACGGTCGATACATCGATGTCAAAATAAACAGATGTCGATGTAGAAGTCACAGATGCTGTGCGATTCTTTTTCTTTAGTGTATGAACAAAATGTTTAGGAGGCAGTGGTAATTTTTGTCTTTCTGCGTGTTCAACAGCACTATCTTCTCAGTCTTGTGTATCAGGGGGGTCTTCTTCTATGACGGTTGAATCTGTATTGTTGGTACTCGTATTAGTTTTTGTCAGTTCTACGTCGTTATCATTGTCTCTACTCGGTGAGGGTAGATTACCAGACTTTGGCCTCCACTTTAAAAATGGAAAAAGAAATGACATTACATCGTGTTAATAATATTTTTTCTTTTTGGCTTCAGATCCTGACGGTAGCTTGTTTTGAGCTCATTTCAGTGCAGTCCGCAGATTCTTCTATTTTTCTTTACATTCAGTAACTAAAAATAAATACTATGTATTACATCATCATCATTGGCTTTTACAACTCTTCGTGAGTTTTTGCCGCGTTTACTATTGCCTTCCATTGATTCCGATCCTGTGCTATTATTTCCCATGGCCTTACTTCCATCTTCTCCAGTTCTACACATTGCTAATCAGTCTGTCGTCATCACTCCGTACCACGTGGCCTGCCCATCTTAATCTATTGGCTTTTATGTATCTTACCATGTTTCCTTTCCCGAAGAGAGTCTCTATTTCATTGTTGTATCTGCTCCTCCATTCATTTGTCACGCTGTCCCTGCAAGGACCATATATAATTCGCAGGATTTTGCGTTCCCATACTAATAGCTTATTGATTTCTTTCTTTCTCAATGTCCATGTTTCACTTTCATATGTCACTGCTGGTCATATTATGGTTTTGTACATTTGGATTTTGGCACGCCTTGAGAGAAGCTTTGACTATGTATTACACATACTTATTTATTTTTGCACTGTGAGATATATGATACAACTAAAAAAAAAATTGTTTCGGGTATTTGGTAAGAGGCAGCAGTTTTGTAGCATTATCACGTGCATTTTTTCGAGGATGCAGTACCATTAGCAACATCATCCACGAAACAACAGCTGCTGTTTTTAACTCTTTACAACCTCAATACATGCCAGCTAGAGATGAGACAAAATGGACATCTATAGCAAATAGATGCAATGAACTCTGGAATATACCAAACTACATACTCGCCATCGACGGAGAGCATATCCGAATAAAGAAATTCCGTAACACAGGATCGCAAAATTACAATTACAAATATTTTTTTCTGTGGTATTAATGGCAACTGCAGATGTTGGAATGTTTGTGACTATTGATGTTGGCGATTACGGCCGAAATAGTGACGGTGCTGTTTTTAAAAGCAGTAAACTTGGACGATTACTGGATAAAAATGAATTAAAATTTCCACCACCAAGACCTTTGCCTCATGATGAAGGCGGTAATATATTTCCATTTTACTTCTGTACCGACGGGCTTTTCCATTGCTTAAAAACATCATGCGCCCTTTTCCAAAAAAGCTGTTAAACGATGAAAAGCGCATATTCAACTATCGATTATCTCGCGGTCGTAAAAGCGTTGAATGCGCATTTGGCATGTTAGTTAGTAAATGCCGCCTTTTTGAAACACCTATTGCATGTGGAGAAGAAATTGTTGATAATATAATAAAAGCCGGTTGTGTCCTACACAATTTTATACAAAACACTGAAGGTCGTTTTTCAGTACCTCTGTTAGAAGACGATGTTAATGGTTTAAACGAATCTGGACCTATACTTCTTCCTGTAATTGGTTTACATACTACTGAACACAATGTTGCAACAGCACTACCAAAATTATTTATCTCAATATTTTATCACTCCTCATGCAGCAATTCCATGGTAGTGGAAGTACTGCGTAGAGCATGAATATAATTTCGAGTAGGCCAAGATACTGTGAAATGCCTTGTATTTGCCAAAATACCACAAAATAAAATGAAAAATTAAAATCAAAACGGTGGTTTCCTTTTGTACTCACCTGATATACCTGTTTCCTTGGGAACTGCACTCCAAGCTTTCTCCGTTGCACTACGTTTAGAATAATCGTCCCTTGTGAAATTGTATAAGCAAGGATATTTTTCGATGATTTGTACAAATATAATATTTTGCTTTTCTTCCGACATTTTCACGCAACAAGCAATTAGCAACACAACCTAAATATCGCTTGTAATACAAATTGTCCGATTCCAGACCCTATTATTCGATATGATATGAGCAACTCAGATCGCACATCGCTTATC